TATGTTTTGTTATTGGTTTTCATTGAAAGACCAAAAATTCAGTTAGAATAAATGTTAAAATCTAATGTTGCTCTAAGCTTTGTTACAACTTGGATACATTTGAAGTGATGATATGGGCAGTGCTGATGGCCCTGCCCATATCATCACTTCAAATGTATCTATTGGTAATTTTTTTTTTTTTTTTTTGGTTATAATTTATAAATAAATTATATATATATATATATATATATATATATATTTCTCATGTTGTCTGTCTGTTGTGGGTGTTGTTACCTTGCCCAGGCCGCATTTCTCACCCGATTTCATCGGTTTTCACCACAAGTTTGCAAATGGCTGCCTTAAGGACATGACGGAGCCCGATTTTTCAGTTAGGACTCAGGTTCGAAAAAAAAATCGATAATCAAAAAAATCTGCTTACAGAAGGAATTATTGCATTTCAACCAAATTTGACACCCTCTTAGAGTCTACCTTTAGAGGTGTTGTCCAGAAGTTTCATGACCACGGACCCTAAACAGCGTGGAAAATCGATAAAACCTAAAAGCCGATACACCCAGATTGCACCTGAACCGCATGTCGGTTTTTAGCGAAAACCAATCGGATTTATGAGGAGGCCATTGGGAGTCACCATGTGAAGTTTCAACTCTGAGCGCCCCCTCAAACAGAGTGCAAATGGACAATCGGTCAACCCTTAAAAATGTTTTTCCGGTTGGGTATTTCCTAAATGCAGATTAATTTAAGGTCACGCTATACGTGGGAAGAAACAGGTTAGTGCGTGCAGTGCTGTATGAGTCATACGATTTTTGAATCAAGCACGGCAACGGCCATGCTTCTAGGATATATATATATATATATATATATATATATATATATATATATATATATATATATATAACTTCCGTTCAGTTAACCGTTTAAATGTGTCAATGTCTGCTAACTCACTCATGTCTTCTCTCTCCCCCTCACTTCGTTAATTTACATATGTTTAATACGGCTCCTCAAAAATGTGTAAATTTTCTTTTCATTTTTTGTTTGGGAGTAAAGTCTGATGATCCGCAGTCCTTTAAAAGGGATGTGGTGAAATAATTTATTACATGGAACCTTAAAGTGGTCTGTTTTTATTTAAATTATTTGCTCTGGATTTTATCCTCCTTAGGTTTACCCATATGGATTACCTAGTTTTTCATAAACTAATATATATATATATATATATAATATATTTTTCTCTAATAATTTTACTATTTTATATTTAATTAAGTTAGCTCCCTTCCAATATTAATAATTTATAGTTGATAACTCACCACTCTAAAATAAAATTAATAATTACTTATCTTTTATGTTCATATGGTAATACCAGTTGGTTTAGATTTAATGTCATGAGAAATATAATTTTTTTTTAATTTTTGAAAAAGATTTATTTACCACTATATAAATAGTGCTTAATTACACTAGCATTACGATATACTGATATATTTTCAACTTAAATAATGGTCAGTATACACTCAGCACTTGAAGATTGCATTTGGCATGAAACTCTGAGTAGTACAAATAGTGTGGACTATGTATATTCATTAATATATATATATACTTTATAGCTCTGTTATATAACATTGTGTACTGTTTCAATGACCCCAGCACTATGTACAATTCATATATATATATATACAAGATATATATAAACACACACACTCACAGACATGGCTATAGAAATAAGTAAACATTGTTTGAGCAAAACCAGTTATATACAAAGGTGGATCAAGAAGTATATAGTATCAGTTGAATTTTGATCTGAAATTTTCATTGTATAATACTTAATCTATATGATCAATAGAGAGTTGCTAGGTTAAGTGCATTGCCTTGTTGAAAAATATTTAATGTGTAAAAAAAAAAAAAAAAATTGTTATTTTATCATTAGACTACAAAGTTATTGCTATCCCTACATATGTGCTGACTGTTTATGAATAGTGGGAATACTGGACTATAGATAAGTTATTATTCTGATAGAAGTTAACTTGCCAAAATATTACATTCATGAAGCTCTGGTTTAAGATCCAATTCCTTGGATCTTACACAGATGTTGTTGTTTTATTTTAAAAGTACATACAGTAATAGGCTATGAATTTAATTTTGTGTATATGCACAATTTGTATATCATTATAAAATCTGCAATAATTTTGCAAATTAGTAATATCTTCGCTTGAAATATTGTAAGTTAGGCTTTTAAATACATCGACCTCCAAAAGTAAAATTTTATTTGACAAAAATGTTGTTTCCTGGAAGTCAGTTTTCCTTATATTAATTGCATGAAAACTGATAAAACTAGAACAAAATCATATCTAAACATAATCTTCTTTAAATAATTTCTTTAATTTGCAGTATTGTTGCATTCAAGTCGATCCTTTTTTTTCTGCATTGACTTGGAAATGTTTTTCTAATTTCATTCTACTTTAATTTACAGGAGTATTGATACATATATATCTATGTGTATTTTAAGATCAGAATTATTTCTTGTTTTTATAATTCAATCAACTCTGATGTAATAGGCCTAAATTGCTCCAGTAATAGGCCTAAAACACATGATCTTATTCTATGTTCCTTTTGATTGTGTCTCAAGAGGGTAGCTGCTTAAGATCAATGTTTAAAGACCACTTTGAAAGCAATTAAATCAGATCCTAATTCTGAAAGTTGACAGCAATTAGCCAATTGATGCTGATTAATTTGTAAGATATTGGTGGTCTTTTTTTTCTTTTTTTTAAGAATATAACAGGGTCTAATGATAGCTTCAACCTTTCGCTTTTCTCTTGTTCTTTTATGCACTTTATTCCCCTCCTCTCTCATACTTTTTTCCTTCATCTTTTATTCCATCATTTCTTTTTCTATCTATTTTTTTTCTTCTCAATTTTATTTTACAATTCATCTCTCTTGTGCTTTTTTTATTTTCAGCAGTATGATTAGTTTAGCCATGATTATGCTTTTATTCTTTGAGAATTAAATGATATTCTCCTCAGTATTCCAGTATTCTCTTCAAACTATCACTGATTCCAAGGTACAAGAGTCTGGATGCTTTCAATTCTTATCAATGTTATTATTTGTACTCATTACAATTAGTATAACTATCTGATGGGTTTTGCTGGAGACTAAATGATAACAAGTCTCTTTCATCTTCTAGCTGCCACCTCCATATTCTAGTTGATTTTAATAATCATCTAGATCGTTTCAATTTTTTTTCAGATTTCCAATTCTTTTTGAAAGCCTTTTCAAGATGGTTTTAGGCATGCCTATGAATACAATCATTACCTTCATTTTTTTTTTTTTTTTAATACAATATTTGTTCTTTAGTAATTTCTGCAACTTGGGGCTATCATAATACCTGATTTGGTTTATGTAGTTCTTTGATAGTCAAATTGACACAGTTTTCATAGATAACAAGTTTGCTTTCTTCTTTTCATATAAAGTGTCAATGGAGCGTAAAAACTTTCATGAATTTCCTCATTCAAGATCCAAACTTCAGTTCTTTTTGTTCAGTTTAGGAAGAGTAAAAATAAATATTACTGTAGATAATACACATGTATTTATGGCTTTTATAAGGTCTTTTTTATAATGAAATATTTTTTAATTTTGTTTCATTAAATCCCCTTCTAATATTTGCAGTATTCTCTTCTATTCAATATTCTGATGATTTCATTGTTTGGTAATTCATTTTGTTGGTTCACATTTTTCTCATTTCTTTATAAACATTATCTATTTCTTAATTCAGAATTCAATTCCAATGTTTTAGTTAAACATTTTGTGTGAACCTCGGTTTCCAATTAAAATTTATTTCTGAAAAATAATTTCAGGTCATCCATAAACATAGTTTTGTTTCATTGGATGAATTAATGAATTTATATTTGCCTTTGTATGATTTAGTTAAACCATATTACAAAAAGTTATGGAAATAAAGGATTTTCTTGAAAAATGTCTTTTTTTTATTGACTTAGGAATATCCTTTTATAATTAGCTTTACCTTCTAGTATTTCAATGCATTAAATATAACTTTTACTATATATTCTGCAATTTTGAACATATTTAAACAAATGTTCAAGGTTGGAGAATCATGCCATTTTTCCTGATCTTTTCTTTCTTTTTTTTTGTTTTAGTATCTTAGCATTTTTTTTTTTTTTTTTTTTTTTTAAATATCAGGGCTTGGGTTGACAAAGATTTTTTGAATGAAACTAAACTAGTTTTGTAAATGTGTTTTGCATGTGAATAGGAGGCTAAAGGTTATTTGGAAATCTGAAAAGAGCAAGAAAGGAGCAAAAAATGGTCTTTTGCGGTGGACACCTAGCAAAGTCTCTATACAAAGCCATATCACATAATATATCCCCACAAAGAATATTATGATTCTTTTTGTTTTACTATTTACATGACTTTTCAGATCAAGAGGTTAAAGGTGTGTGATTTATTTATTAAATAAATGACACACCTCATTTTATAAGCATCTTATATGATGATGGTGGCTCATGAACAAAAACTTTATCATAACTGTAAAGAGAAATCTATTATTGGAACAACATTGTAGTAAATCTATAAAAAAAAATGGCATCAGCTAGTGATCTACAAATTAGAATTTTTGCTAATGTATTTGAAAGCAGTATGATCTCTCATTGGTGAAGATTGATAAAACTTGAAACAAATATCAGAATTTTACAAAAATTAGTGATAGTCAGAATGAGGTAAGTTTTTCAATTTTAACCCAACTCAGAAATCACTCAAGAGTTTAAAAATCTAATATTTGTCTTTTGATTATTAGTGTTTGTTTTTCTATGTGAACTTTACAGATTCAGTTATTATACTTTGTCTTTTATGATTTTATGCTGCTTCTACTTTTAATAAACAGCACTTAATCTTTCTGAAATATTTTGATTGAAATTCATCTTCACTTCCAAAGAAGTAAGACTACAAGAATTTACTTGTATTAATTTTAGAAAATTTTTAAAAATTATGATAATTTTGTTTTGCAGATCCACGAACAAAAGACTGGTTTCTTATAGAAAACAACCCACTAAAAGTATGGTGCCTAACTGCCTTATACATTCTTTTTGTTATATATGGACCAAAATATATGCAGAACCGGAAAGCTTATGATTTGCGGATCTTTATGATTGTCTACAATCTGGCAATGGTTGTTTTATCTTTATATATGTTTATTGAGGTGAGTACATTTTGCTCAGTATATTTCAATGGGTTTTAGTTTTTAAGTTTTACTCTTAATTTTGCAGATTATCAAAATTAAAAAAAAATAGAAAACAATTGATCTGACTGTAAGATCTTTGAATGAAAATTCAAATTCATAACATTCAAACATTAAAATGAGCTGGTGCTGTTGAAATCCTAAATAAAATTAAAAATTAGAATCCTTTTTCAAATGTGTTTCTGTAACAAATGTGCTGTAATTTTAGATCATAAATTGTGTAAACATTTCAGTAATAAATATTTAATAAAAAATATATGGCTACAATTTTTTTTTCATAGAAAAAAATTGCTAGTCTTCTATATAAAATATTACAACTAGAATAAATGATATTTACATTCTATTAGATATTCCTATAGAATATGACTATTATGGATATTTATCATTGCTCAGAGTTGGGTGAATAATTACAAATATAACACAAAATGACATTTAGAATTATTAACATTTTTTACAAACAAAACAATTTTTAATTTTTTAATGGGTCCTTTAAGTTCTTTTATTTGACTGAGAGAGAAGAAAATAGCTATTTAAATCCAAATCCAGTAACCTTCAATGACCTTGTTGATCAGTACTATCATATTATTTTTTTTCTGCTCAAGTTACTCCCACATAATAATTTACCTTCAAAAATGTAATTGTTCAACTGTAATATATGCCATAATGTCCACAAACTAATACATCTCCAATGACCTCAGAGGTTGAATTTGATTATATTTGTCCTATATTTTGGTTGACAGACAAAGTATACATACTGGGTTGTTCTCAAACTATACTGAACATTATCAGTACATAATAGTTACAAATAGATTCTCAATGGCCTTGTTGAATCTACTTGTTGGTGGTGTGATAAATCTATTAAAGTGTTTACATAACTTCATTTAATACAAGCTGTTAATTTTCATTAAAAAGATCATTAAATTAAATATATTTTTGCCTATTCTTTAACTTCATGCAAAATGTTTATCTTAAGTACTCAAACATACATGAAAGTATTCAGTATTTTCTCACTTAGAACACCATGAAAAATATCCTAGTACTCAGTGTGTCATTATTCAAAATATACTTGAAGTAATTATACTCCTGACTAGTACAAAGACTATTCCACTCTCAAAAATAGAATACTCTGTTGCACTGACATACCTGTTCATATAATGTAGTAATAATTACCTAATCTTACATAGTGCAACATAGTCATCTGTGTTTCTAATGATCTTTTAATCTCAAATTGATATCATTTCTTTCTTTTTTTTTTTTTATTATATTCTATTTTAAAACTTTTGTTGGAGTTATTCCCTTAGTCAACTGAAATTGAGTGTCCCCCTTGATACATATTTATACATGATTGTGTGTTTTTTATGATTGAGTTTTTTTTTTTTTTTAGTGTATGTCCCTTTTGAAAAGGGATTAGCACAAAATGATGCTTTGATCTACAATTGCAATCATCTGCAGATGATTGGCATCTTAATTCACGGCTCATGTGTATTGGCAAATAGACAACAGTATATTCAAGATTAGTACATTTGGAAGGACAGTCTTCAGTAAGCCATTAAAATAAATTTTGCAGTTTTATATGCAAAACATTTGTTTGTAAAATATCAAATATACAAGAGACTGGAAGTTTGTATATAAAATAATTTATCAAAGCCAAACAAAGAACTCCCAACATATTTGACAAATTTTGTAATAATTGTTTAAAAGAAATTCCAAAAATTTGTTATTCCTCAAGGAGTCATGATACACCTCACTAATGTCTTGTTAAATATATCTGAAAACATTTGCTTTCAAACAAAAAAAAAAGTATCATTTTATGTGGTTGGTTCTAACTAATTTGATTGTGGAATGAACAAGCAATGAATTTGGAATTCCATGGGCATGGCTCAAGACAAGGGAATGTGTACAAAGTTCAACAGGAGATCTCCTGTTCAGCAGAGTTGTCAGGGGAAACCCATCCCCAGAATACACAGATGCAAGCACCAGATGTGACATGTATGATAGAAGATGTGCATATTCTCTCAGAACAAGATTCAATAACATTTCAGAAACCAAAATGCACTGCTGGATAGTACATAGCTGAAATACAAGAAAAGAAAAAAAACAAGAGAGGAAATTTCCTCTCTTGTTTTTTTAGTCCATAGCAATCATATCCAATAAAAAACAAAGCATCATATTAATCTCAGATTATCATGTATTAATCCTTACATCTGTGAATACAGTTTCATATATATATATATATAATCAATTTGCTACTTTAAGCTTCTATAAGTGGTAAACATGACTCCTATTCAACCCAGTTGAATTCAATTATGAATGTATATCCTAATGATCATAGCCAAAACAAAGTGAACAAACTGTTCAAGAATAATTTGTGCTTAAATTGATATTTTATATTTGAAAATAATGGTCAACTATTTAGGTACATTAATCTGAAAATCAATTCTTAGTGAAAATAGATTTAATTGATTTTTGTAATATATTTAGGGACTTGAAATATTGAAAACTGTCTATTCTTCAATGTTATTTTTTGTAGTCTTTCAGCAAAAGTTATTTCCAAAAGAAACTGCCAATGGCTAATTTATCAGTGCATTTGTTTTATACCAACATAAACAAATATAACAAAATAGTAAAATTGATGACCATCTTTGTTCACAACCCCTTAAACTAAGTAGGCACAATTGCCTATTTTATGTTTAATATTTTGGTGCCTCCAAATATGACTTGCTAAAAAGAAGTGCAGTAAAATAATGTATCATTTTTGTTATTCAATTGTTAAAAATGGCAACGTTTTTATTTTTTCCTTCACCTCACTTTTCCTTTAATCTCCATAGATTAATGTGATCTGTTATAAATTTTTGATTTCACTAAAACAGTGCTTCAATTAATCGATTTGACATGCAGTTGTGGTAATATTTACATAATTATTCATTATGATAGTGAAAAGATCCCCTCCCCTCTCCAGCTGTGGGTTAAATGAAGACTAAAAAAATTGTAATCTAAAAGTGTAATATATGGTAGATGAGTGAAAACTTCCAAGCCACAATGCAAACATTTTTGCCAGGTCATCAAAGAGACATGTGGGTGGTTTTGCATTATCCTTATAGAATATTAAACTATTTCTCTTAATTCTGCAAATCTTTTCACTAATATGGATGCCACACAACCAAGATAGCCAAATGATGTTCAATGCATTTTTTAATAGTTTATCTCCTGTATTGTATAATGTTGATTATTCTCAACTAATATCCTAATTGGACTGCTATCAATCCCAACTGGTTTACATGATCATAAACCATCATTCAGTGAGAAATCTCCAGCATGAAACTGCACAAATGTTTTGATTTGAGTCACATGTTAACCTTTCTGAAAGTAGAATAACAGGCTGAAAATATTGCTTGTTTTCTTCCATCCTCAGTGATAGAATCAATGAAAAATGTCCTAATTTTAACAAGATCTAAAAGAAAATGTCTGCCAATAACTTTTAGAATAAAATGGTCAATCTTTTTTTAAATTACTTCAGTTAAAACTAAATGCTCTTAATACTCTTTATTGACAAAAGCAAATGAATGTGTGTCAATCAGTGTATTTGTGTATATCTTCTCAGAAGATTGATGTCTTAGAGAATTCATAATTAAATAAAGTTCTATAAAATTCATGTTAGTGTAATGTATGCAAATTTTATGAATTTAATTTTAACATTTCTGACTTTATACTTAAAACCTTATTAGTATAATATAAATACATGGTTTTGTTTGGGTTTCTAAATATTTAAAATAAATACAATCACATATACTTTGTATCAATTGCTTTAAAAAGATGCTGAAAATTTTCAGTCAGTCCAGTAATGTCAATTCTATCAGAAGCAATAAAGAAAATAATTTTAGTTTGTTTAAAAAACATTGCAAAAACCAAAATAAAACCTTAAATGAAATTCTGAAAAAAAAAATGTTTTTTTTTTCCAAAAATATTTTTCTAAATTACATAATTACTGGATAAGAATTCTTTTTAATCAATAACCTTTTTTTTTTCAGTTTCATTTGTGTCATTCATTTCTATTTATGCCTTTCCCAAGGACATAAGTGTAGTGAATACAGATTTTCAGTTACTGTTTGAACTCTGCTTACTGATTCCATTTCAAATACTGATAACTACACAGCTTCCAGCATCTCCATTGGTATTTTTAGAAAGGAATATTTACATGAATGTCTACAATTATGATGCTTCCCTTTTGTGCAGTGTTACATAAAAAATACCTTTTATGCAGTTTGGCTGCAAATAGCAGTTTTGACCCTAAATTGATTTGTGACAATCTTTTAGTGATCTTTGAGGTCTGTGCCATCTGTCTTAGATACATTCATGACTGAGTGTCCATCTGTTTGACCAGCCATAATATGCATACAAGCCAACTTTATATAATAGATATATTTGATTCAGTGCAATATAGAGAAATATAGCCATCTACTCATAATACTATTGCAATTGACATTGTGTGATATTTCAATACTCTACAGAAAAACAAAGAAAGGACTGTACCAAGGACTTTCACCAACAACATCAACTAAAAAAATGGATATTGCATGTAAGTTGAAGAGAATATAATGACATAAGTATGTTGCCATTCCATACTACTTCAAATAAAATGTTAGGGAAGAAACCTTCCATCAATACTGGAAAGGCATTAGCAGCTACTGTACTTTTGAAAGCTATTTTCCTGAAAAATTGTTTTAACAGAAAGATTTTATAAATTTCAGCTGACAGTAGTAGTTTCTTTCTTTTTACCTTTTTTTTTAAATCTGCATCATAAATTAGTAATTTCAGAATTAGTCATGTAGGAGTTATTTCCCATTATTTGTAAAAAGTGTCTTCAAAACAAAAATGAGTGTCGATAAGAGTGATGTGAACGGAACAGAATATGGAATTAATAAAAGCGGAAAATTTATATGAATGATTGAAAATAAAATATATCGTTAAATAGGAGGAAAATTATTGGAAAGAGAAGGAAATGGATAAAAATAAAGTTACAAATCAACATTTAACTTCATTTCTATTAATTTTTTTTGTCCACATCAGAAATGGTGATTTTCAACACTTAGCTTATCTGTATAGAACAAGGTCAAAAGTATGAGGCACTTAGTGAGGATGAAACTCACTATTCAATCATAATTGATCTAGTGAGATTATCTTCCTAACCATTATAGCACACTGGTGCCCATATCCACTTCAGTAATGAATGCTTTTCAATGTATTTTTACAATAGCTTATACACCAGTTGTCCAAAGTATTGGCACTGCCTTCTTATATAAGAGAAAAATTGAAATTTTTTCTCTTCATGACTGAAATTGGAGCAACAATAATTTATTTACTTATTTCAATGTTATCAACTCTTTACCTTTTTAAGATAATTTTATCTAATAATAAATTAGGATTTTTCAAATTTATTAAGTATATTATTTCAATTATCAGGTGTTTGCATCTGGTAGAGATGCAAAACTGATTCCTGGCCAGTAACTGAATTCATTTCTTAAATCAATTTATAGAATATTCTACACACAGTGAGATTTGTAAAACAACAAAATTTTTATTTGCAGTTAATTCATGACAGTTTCATATAACATCCAACTTATTTTTTTTATTTTAATGTTACATGAATGCTATAAGTATTGATTAACTTAAAAGATCTATCCTATCCAAAATTAGAATTTAACTGATTACTTGTACTTTCCCATATTACAATATTACATTTCATTCTTATAGACACACTATAGAACTAATGATATCTACAACCACATTCTCAAATTTGTTATATCATGACAAGTTTGAGAATGTAGTTGCAGATTTACAAACTTTTAATTTGCTCATAGCTATTAATTTTCTGACTTCTCAAAATTAGGATTATGTAAGAAAAACATCTTCAACATTAAGGTCAGTAGAAAATAAATTTAATACCACTGTAGCCCCTTCTCTCTTGCATTTCCATCAAATTTGAAATATTAATATGGTTATTTGCTTGACATGAAAAATAACTAAATCTTTTCTATATCTTCTTGTAGATTATATTGAGTACACAGTCCTTGGGTTACAGAGTTGTTTGTGCACCTTATACAAAACTAAGTATTCAAAATCCAAAAGAAATGAGGGTAAGTTTTGAACATTTCGTTATTAACAAAAAATGTTTGTTTGATTGTCAACATTTGCAATTTCACAATATTTTTATACTAAAAATAAAGTTCCAAGTAAAATTAATATAGTTATGTTAAGATTGTCTTGAAAAAAATAAGTGAGAAAACAAAAAGAAGGAAAGACCTTAACTAATTTATTATCAGCTAAGTGGTAGTTGGGGCTTTATTTAAATGTACAAAAGATTCTATGACTATTATTACAAACTAGTATTTAAAAAAGAAAATGAAAAGGAAATCTATATTCAGTACTTAGCAGAAAATTTTCTAAGAATTAAAGAGTTTGTTTGGAGTTCTTTGTTCAGATGAATTAATTTCCCTCCATTGTTTCAATCACTTTGTGAAAATTGAAAAAAATATTAAAGATTACCCTATGGAACATTTGAAATAGACTATAGGTAGCTCACTAATTGAAACGGTTTATCAATAAATCTCAATTAAGACACAAATATTCACACCAGTATTGACACTGATCATCAAAGCCATTGTCTTAACAGTTGTTGTCTTTCACTATGATATCTTTTTAAATGGAATTTTTTTTTTTTTTTTTTTTTTTTCAGTTGGCTAAAGTTTTATGGTGGTATTTTTTTTCCAAAGCCGTTGAACTAATGGACACTGTCTTGATGATATTACGAAAGAAACATGATCAAGTATCTTTCCTACATGTCTTTCATCATGCAACCATGTTAAATATTTGGTGGTGGGTCATGATGTTTATTCCTGGAGGACTGTGTAAGTATTCTGAAATAAGGTAAAAATAAAAAATTTTACATATATAGTTCATTGGGAAAAGCCATTTGGAACACAATGCTGTTCTTTCAAATATAAACTAATTATTTTCGACTCAAGACTTTGACAAATAGGTTTTTGTTCTTACTGAAAAAGTTTCAAGTTTTGCTTTTTGAAATTTTATAGACAGATAAACTTTTACTAATCTTTGCATAACTTTTTATTCATTAATTTTATAGCTACAATCTTCTATTCTGCTTATCTATTTTCTTTACTTTTATCTTTAACTTATTTTTACCTTAAGTCAAATTTGTGATTATCTAAGTTTCTCATCATAATAAAAATTGTAATTATTATTTGGATACATAAGGTAATGTAAAAAGCACAATGATAATGAAGACAAAATGACTTAAAAGAAATTTCTTTGACTTGGTGATGTCTTCTCTGAACTTTTAAATTTATTAAGAGGAATGGCGTGGCGTGGGGTGGGGGCTATATTCTCCAACAGTAAAATTAAATTCTATCCTGGTCTGTTTCATTCACTTCACAATAATACCCTTGAGAAAGGAATAAATCAATTTATTCTCAGCCATAGGTTAAACATTCAGCCAATCTAAGAGAATGATAACTTTGGATTCAAAAGCATGGAGAAGGTAACAGGAAACCACTCCACTGACTTCATCCTGGATATGATGATAAACTACATACGCATCCTGGGTAAGATGATAAACTACATCCAGCAGCAAGGCCTCTGATCAGGAGGTTTTGAGAAGCGTGGAACCACCTCTTAATTGCTGATGTTCACAGGTCCACCCAGACCCAGGGTGGTAGCACCTGTTAGGGGCCTAGCTATGGGCAAATAGTTAACCACGAAACTGGGGTAAAAACACTATGAAAGTGTAAAATAGGTTTTAATACCAGAAATACTTTGTAAAAAATTATTACCAGCAATAAAGTTTTGAAGGAAAAAAAAAACTATTACAAGCAATACATTCTTGAAAAAAAAAATATATATATTACCAACAATGTTTTTAAAAAATAAATATTACTAGCAATACATTTTTGAAGGAAAAATATTACCAGAAATAGATTTTTGACAAAACAAAATATTACCAGCAATAAAAATTTTGTTGGCATTAAATAACCCATTGAGGTTGATATGCCGTAAAACAAACCAAATCATTCCACTGACTTTCCCAAGAATTCATGGCAATTCACAGATAATAAAAAAAAGGAATCTTTGTAGAGTTATGATCCCCTACATCCTAAAGAGACATGGCATTTAAAATTTTATCCAAAAATGTTTATCCTGAAGTTGATATATGTATGAACCTAGATATAATTACTTAAGTGGTTGTACCTTTTACATATACTTCTTTCATGTTTCTTTTCACTTTCTCTGGTAAAGGATCTAGGTAACAATTATACCAAGCCAAAACCACACACCAACTTGGAGCAACCTGAATCCAAAACAGTGGCACTAATAGTTTGTCCTAGGCACATATTATCCCCAGAGTTATAAGTATAATATTGGCTTTGAATACATCTTCCTCATTTTCTTTGTCAGAGGCATGTTGGTAATTTTTAGCTCAGTATATGGCAGATCAACAAATAGCACGTCTAGAGGGTTTACCATCAGGCCCAAGATGATTTCGTTTCCTGGTTTTATCCTTCTGATAATTGGTATAACTTTTGCTTACTTTATTTGATCAATCACCTTTATAACTATTGCCTCTCTATCCTCTACCATGATAATACTTCTGTTGATTTTGGTGGCCTGAGCTATAGATTAGATCATTTGTCTGCACATCACTATTTCCATCTGAAGATTGGAGTAAGTTCACATCTGCTAGTTCAGACTATTTGATTGATTGCTGGAGAGGAAGTATGCACTAAAGTCTCTGGTCTAACACCCATCACCCATTATTTGAATCATAATTACATTAAGTGTTATATCTCTAACAATATTCATTATTAATGTTTTGCTCTGCAGGGCTCTGTAAGTCAATACTGCATCAAAGCATCAACATTTGTCTCCATTTCCCAGAACTTCATTTCTTTTTTCCAAACAGCATATTTTCTCTGAGACAAGTTCTGGTGAGGTTAAGAACTTATTAATGGTGGTCATTTTTCATTTACAATATTATACTTTGTTATCAAAAATGTTTAAGCTCTAAAATTGCCCGGCATAGATTCCAGAGGCAAATGAATCACACCTCTAAACAAATTATTAGAAGCTTTTATGGAAAAGAGTAGCTTATTTTTAATTAGCAGGTGGAACATGGTAATTCAACAATATCAGCCAAAGATGAAGAGTTCAATCCTTGGGAGAATTAGCATTAATAATCTCCATAAGTCATCTGAAAGGTAGACGAGCATAGTTAACAATTCCCATATTGTTCAGTTTAAGTATTTCTTTTGGCTACTTATTCATTATAATTGCTACTTCTTTATAGTGCTGCATCTTACTTCAGAAGTTCTTTCAATCCATCAGTTTTCAAGTCTTGAATTTTTTCAAAGTGTTTCTTCTCAAACTAAAAATATTTTTAAACTATGCAAATCATTCCTGGCATGTTCTTCAATAATATATTGTTTAACTCCCATTCACAAGGTTAAATATGAAAATAAATAGTATCAAATGTGCATTTTTATATTCAACCATGATTTTCAGCAAAATAAAATTATTCCTTTCCTACAAACATTTTTGAAGAGCTAAGTAAACTTCAAAATCATTTAAAATTTTGCAAACATTATGCAAAAGTTCTTGGAACTTTTGTATCAACAAGAATAGTTTTAATTAACATTTAGCTTTGTTTTAGGGGGTTATTGAATAGGTTACAATGAGATCTATTAAATTTAAGTTTTAAATGTAAATTTATAAGTTTAATTTTTAAAAGTTTTTTAAATTAAAAAAAATTTGTTCAATTTTTCTTTAATTATAATCTGAAACATCTAACCTTTCATTTTTGTCCAGCCTGGTTTGGTGCATGCCTAAATTGTTTCATCCATATTGTTATGTACACCTATTATGGCCTATCAGCAGTACCTTCACTCAAGGGAAAATTATGGTGGAAAAAGTATATTACCAAATTGCAGTTGGTAAGTAAATCATCTAAATTTATATAAGCTATATAATTACTTTTACTGCAATGATTTATCTGCCCACTAGAAAAACTTTAAAAAATAGTAAAGCTACAAAGAGAAAGGCAGTCATATGTGAAACTTTCTGCCTCACTTGTTCTTATACATACATACACACACAATATGTGCTTACATTATTTACAAGATGCAAATTAACTACAAATTTAACATTGCATTAATGACTGATTATTAAATGATTTGCCCATTTCTTATTTCTAATCCATCTGAATAAGGTAATATAAATCCTAGGTATTTGAAGTGGGATTTACATAGAATAAGCATTATTAGTGTTTGTATCATTTTAAGCAATGTAATTTAACATAATTTTATTTGTTTCACTGCTTCATATTTTATTGAATGATCTTTTTCAGATATTAATCTGAACAGGATAGACAAAATAGATAAGAGAATAATTCTTTTGTTATTGTTTTTAATTTTTAATTATTTTACTAACAATGAGATTTGAGCAGGGTGAAGCAATGAGAAGATAACTTCAAAAGAAATGTGAGTATGCACAAATATATATAGCATTCACGATTATCACAACCAAGAAGTACTATTGTCTCAGAATACCATTTCACTACTAATAAACTAAAATCCAGCTATCAGATGATATCTATAAAAGTACAATGGATATCAAGGTTTGACAATAGTCCAAATACTCAAATACAGTTTCCATAATACAAAAGCTAATTATCATTATACCACTGAGCACATTTTCATATTGTTAACATCATTTTTCTTTTTTTAGTAGCTGAACTTATTCTTTGTTATTCCATGAGTAAGAATCATAAAAAATATATATATATATATATATAAATACTTTTAGTTGAATACTTAAAATTAATTTCCTGTCATTCTAAAAAATCATCATAGCCACTTTTAAGATTCAGGTAACTTACTGTGTGTGTGTGTGTGTGTAATAAGAATAAAACAAGTTATAAAGATATTGAATGAAACTGATATTCATTATGATGAAATGATCACATGTTATGCATACTGAAAAAATATTGCATAAAATGTATGCTGGCTCATTTATTAATTAACATGTCTCCAATTTTAAATCCTTCTAAAGATATAGAATATGAAAATGTATTTATCTACAAAAATGTTATGTATTTCTCAATGATATCCAATATCAATAATTTGCTGAAGATGTTTCAGTGAAATGCTTTTAACAACAAATTGTTCTTTATTAGTATTGTAATCTAAAGTCTCGGATTTTTTCCTTTTTCATTTTAATGTAAATAAATAAGAATTTAATGTTTTGTCAATCCTTGGGAATTGTTATTTAATTTTAATCCACATTTTGATCCAAACTGATATTAACTTTAATTTTTTTTTTTTTTTTTTTAAGATTCAGTTTTGTATCACATTTGGGCACTCAGCAAATTCTATACGAATACAATGTGACTTTCCTCGTTGGGGCCAGTATTTACTAACAGGCTACATGATCATCATGGTTATTCTGTTCAGCAATTTCTACATTCAAGCATATATTAAAGGCAGAAGGAATCCCAAAGGGCAACAAGAGCATTCACAGAAGCAAAAGAAAAAAAATGTGCATAATGGGAATATTAATGGTACAATCAAGAAAACCCATTAACATTAACTTTTGATTTTCATTTTCAAGTTAAATTTTTAAAGTTTTTTGTTTTCTTGCAAGTTTACAAGATTTTTCAGACTTTCCCCATTCTAGCTACAAGTGGAAAGTATTTTGCTAGTTAATTGATGAAAAAAGAATGAAAAATATTCATTTACGTTTTGAGAGGATAATCAAAGAATAAAAGTTGTTAAAAAATAAAAGCCTTGGTTATTTTCTTTTTTTTTTTCATCCTTATTTGGTTTTATTTTTAATCAATGATTTTTGTTTTAAGTAATTGAAACATACAAAATCATATTCATTCCAGCTTTATAATTCATTTAATAACTGATGGCTTTTTACTTACAGCAAATTACTTTCCTTGAACAATAATGTTTGAAATTAATTCAGCACATTATTAACATTTATTAAAAAAATTTAAATTTACCAAAATGCTTCATCAGCTTTAAAAATACTGGTAACTAAATGAGCACCTTAAATTATAAAACAGAATATCTTTATTTTTATATTAACAATCATAGATTAAAATTGGGTTTACTTTACTTTATGTAATATTTTGGTTATAATTTTTTAAATTTTAGCTTTAAGTGCATTGTAAATATCCTGATAAAAGTGATTCATTAGTGTTTTTATAAGAATCAACATATTATCAACATTATATAAAATATGTAACTATAATTAAAAACTATTACAAAAATTTTTAAAATATTGCTATTTTGTGAAGGTTCAACATGAAGAAAACAGATTTTTAAACTTATTTCTAAATAAAGAAATTCTTAATGCTGAATATACTGTAAATGAACATAATTAAACTTTTGGCAGAGTTTAACCTTTGTGCCCATAAAAAAAAAAATTTGGAATTTTGAAAGGACAGTTTTTCTGTTGACACAGCTTTAATGTATACTATCGAGACTCTTGGTAATGTTTATTTATGAGATTATAAAAATATGTGAACCAGGTATAATGCAATATTTATTACTTACCATTTTATAAAGATTTATTATTTATCATTTTAGAAAGAAATTTGAAAATAATTCAAAAATTTATAAAAACCTACAAAATTTTTCAAATATTTGAACCAGCAACAATGCAATATTCATTATTTTCCATTTTAGTAATAAATAACTATGAAACCAATGTTTTTATTCATAATCTTCTAAAAAATATCTATGAACAAGAAAATTTGAATATACATGATTTTTCCAGACATGCATTTTCTTAAATTATTTTATCTCAGATTACTTTTCTTTTTTTTTTAATTTTCTAATTTCTTTTTATAATTGTAATCTAGGATGAAGGATGCCTAATCAATAGATACCCAATACCTGAAACTCCAGCAATTATATATAGGTTATTCCCCTTCCCACTTTTTTGGGGAAAATTTTTTTTAAATTGTTACTAATTTTTTTAAAAATGCCTAGATGTTCCAATAGATTACTTATTGTCATTGAAGTGCTGACTGATGAAGAAATCTTAAATGAAGTGTGGACACTAAGCACCTTGACTAAAGAAATTGGTGAAGCTGGCAAATTGTGTTCTTTGGAATATTTGGCAAAACATCAGCAAATTACCATGAAATGGTAAATAATAAAGATCTCATTATAGTTGGTTTATAAATTTTTATAAATTCATGAATCAAAATTGTTTTTCATATTTATTTCTTTATAAATTGGTAAATAATAAACATTGCATTGTATTAGTGGGTTTGCATTTTTAGAATGTTGTTAATATAAAAATATTCTTGTAAGTTATCTAATAGTGTTTATTTTTGTTGTAAATTCTCAAGAGCAAAGAAAATTTATAAATTCACTTTCATATGTTTGTTTTTTATAAAAATTCTAATCTTTGCTTTTTAAAACAAACATTGCTGAGGGAATGAAGATAGTATAAAATAATAGTGGTGTCAAAGGAAAAAAATGTCTTTTTGACAACATTTTTTTTTTTTTTTTTTTTTTTTTGCAAGCACAAATGTTAAACTTTGCCAAATGTTTTGTACATACTACTTGATTTTCTTCAACACTTTATCCTTTGAGAAGGGTATGCAAATATAACTAAATAACTCCTTCATTTTAATATTAATAAATGTGATAATTTAAAAAAAACTCATCTGAGGGTAAAACAAGCCTCTGTTTAATCAAACAAATGCAATAGGTTAATATACATTTCTATCTATTCCAAATATTTTAGATTAAAGAATAATCTTTAATAATATGCATAAAAGATATTGAGCTACAAATCTCATGAATAGCTGACTTTTAGTTTTATTAGCTGTATCAGTATAGTAAATGTTCAAACTAGAGACTTTTATAATGATTGTTGTCATATCTTTATCACTCTTAGATAGTTTTTATTAGTTGCTAAAGAAAATTCAGTAATAAATGCTTTAATATTGACAAATCACTTTATTGCTTCCAGTTTTAGACAATACTAAGTTTTCCACTAATTCATAGAAATCCTTAAATTATTAGAATTTGGCCTATTAACATCTAATGTAAAAATTCAAATTTGCTATTTTTTTTTTATTTTTTTATTTTTTTTTTTTTTACTAATGCCTCCTATTTTATCTCCGGCTCAAACTATAGTCCTAAGGTTTCTCTTGGAGAAATGACACATGAGTGATAGTACTTTCTGTAGTATGCAGGTTGTTCTGAGTAAGGCAATCTTCTGGATAGTGTAGGTGTTGCTACTGCCTGGGAGATAGGGAACTTTTCTCTTCCCTTCCAGAGTGCCTATGGTCACTGATGCTATTTCAATCTTCATATCCCACATCCTCTATGCACAGGTCTTTTGTATTTGAACATATTCTTTGTAACATTTTTGGTGGTGTTTCTTTTTCATGGTATTGCTATGTTAATGAGTATGTACCTCTTTCCTATTCTTCATAATGATGTTGGGTTTCTTGGCTTTCATTTTTCTGCCAGTGTGGGAGAATATGTCTCAGAGAATGGTGACATTGTTCTTTTCAGTGAGTGTGTTCAGCTGATGTTCCTAGCACTTCTCAGTCGTTTTGATTTTTTTCATTTCAGGTATGTTGCTGCCTTGTTATGCCTGTGTTATTTCTTGCCTTCACCAATTCCAGGCAACCTAAAACAATGTAATCAACAGTTTCTTTTTTACAGATCGTGTTTTTCATCTCGGCTTTCAGTCCAGTGTTCCTCAGCCATTGGTGGCTTTTCTGTTGATCCATGACTGATTCTTTAATCCTTTTCACATACTTATACTTTAACTTCTCCTTTGGCTTTCTGCTAGTCATGTTTTTTCTTCTTTTTCATTTTCTTGGCATAGATGGTAGTTACTTATTTTCTTTTGGTGGGCTTACAGGGACACCAACCTCTTCCTTGAAAAGTAAGGCTACTTTCTTGATAGTGCATCTATTGATTTACTATGCAGAAGAGCAAGTCATCTGTATATCCTAAAAGTGAGAGTTTTGAAGGCCTTACACTTTTGAAATTCTTGATATATAAAGATGGTTGACATTAGCTGTCATGGCATATCTCCATGATAGGCATCTTACTCATTTTGATATCCAGTTGATGTTGAATCTCTGTCACTATGAGTATTCTTATAATGTTTATAATTTTAAATCATTTTGCCACATTGAGCTTGCTTTTCAGTTCCATACACACTCTCCGTAATCTTATTGGATCTTCTCCTTTTATTCATTTACTTGTGTATGCCATCTTGGTCTCACTCCTTGATAATAGTGTTTATATCAAGGTCCAACTTTACAGTTTTTGTCAGTTTCCCTTTCTTGAAGGTGGCTTTGGCAAACTTATCAAGTCTAAATTCCATATAATTCCTGAAGGTAATGGTAAATAGATTATTCTGTTGGTTTTCATCCTTGGCAATCATCTTCATGCTACCAATGTAGAATAAATAGTTTAGTTTGGCATTTTGTGATTTCTATCTGTAACTTCTATTGCCCTTTAGTATATTAACAAGTGGCTCTAGTACAAGGAAAACAAGCACTGAATTCCTTTACTGCTGCAGCAAGCAATAAACATGTGTCAAAGAGAAGTTTGAATGCTTATATTTATATATGGTATGTGTATAAATAGATGTATTCCAAAGACTATTTGGTTTACAAAATCCAGTCATTTTGATAAATAACCAAATATTTTTTAAACCCAGCTATATGCTCTTTCTTGTTAAACATTGATAATGTGCAAGTATTTCCTTTAGAACTATATTTTCTCTTCATGAAAAACTGGATTGATATTTATACTTCATGAAGATTTATAAATAGCTTCAAGACTGCATTTAGATCACAATATGTACTGATCAAAGAATATTCACTACTTTTTCAGCTACAAGCAAGCCCATTCATGGATGAATACAAAGAATGAAGTAAACAGAAATGTGTTCATACATTTATGTGTGTGTGTTTGATGCATATTAATAAAGACAAACATAACAGAAAAAGTCTTGCTCTTTAACACATTTTTATGTTAGATTTTCTTTTCTTCTGATCAGCATCTAGATTGTTCTACTCATATTTTGGTTGTTGTACCTTTTGGCTTTTGTCAAGTGTCTTCATACTCAGTAACCTTCTGAACTTTTCAATGAATAAACAAATTCAAATTTATTCTGTTATCAAAGTTACACTACACAAAGAATTATACTATGTTAATATTATGTATTAACAGCAACTGTTTAAAGTTCATTTATGTATTTGGATAAAAATTTAATACTGATGTTAAAATTTAATTTCAGGTATTACTTATTTTGAGAAGATGTAAACCACTTTAAGTTTATATCTTTTCAGTAAAGTAATACATGTTTAGTTTAATGGATTTAAAGTTTGGTAATAAAAACAATTTTATCATTTTTAGCATTATTTCTTTTTTGAATTGTCCTTTCTTTATTATTCTTTATAAAATATTTGCAGATGTACATATTTAACAAATACAACTTTTGTCCAAGATAACATTCCTGAAAATCCACTGAGAACTGAATTTACTTGTTAGATAAACCTGATCACTGCAACAAGCTATGACAAGCATTCAGCTCTTAGATGCAGATTACCTTGCTATAAGAATGTCCAGCCTTCCAAAATTAAACTTGTATAGACTGTGTAAATTTTATATACTTTTAATGATGTAATTCTCATTGCATTTTTTATGGTGGAGGTAACTTTGTTATATAATCTTATATCCTCTTTTTTTCATTTTTAAACACTGTTTTTATAATTTTTAGAAATTAAAACAATTGTTGACCTTAAATTAACATTAAAGAATTTTTACAGGTTATTTCTGAATGAGTTATTTGTGCATTTTTTTTTTTTTTTGTACAGGTTTTGATAAAAGTCTTAACTCCATTGCAGTAGTTCTCAGAAATTTATGCACAAAGACTTTATTTAATAATTGATTTTCATTTTATAGCTGACAAAACTGGTTTAAAGGCACTATCTTACTGTGGTTAACCTCAGTAAGAATAACTGAACGACAGAGCCATAATATAAACCAATATGTTTTCTTCAAATCACTACTGTAATTTCATCCATGTATTTTAAAACTCTACAATTTCTAAAAGTATATATACAAAGCAATTCGAAAGTTGTTTATTTTGCTTTTCCATTTTTGTCAAAATTTGCAGAAATTGTCTATTTCTATTATGCACTGATTCATTTGAATAGTTTTCCTTAAATTTTTATTTTTATTTTTTCTGTACACTAGTCTCATTTTTTCTTGCTATCAATAACCTCTCACATATGCCTTTATTTAATCCCACAAGGGTACTCTCTTCTTATTCCTATACCTATCAAATCTAATGACTTTTCTAGAGAATTTTAAAATTCTTTATTTCAATCTGCATCACAAATGAACCAGTGTATATTTCTGCACTACTTGACCCATGAGTTGAATTCACTATTTTCAGAGAAGTAAATGAATTTTTAGTAGCTCACTAAGTCAGAAGAGCCTTAAATTTGTCAGTTTTTGCTTTTTCATTTTAATTAATCATTTATTGTTTGAATGCTTTTAAGTTAAATCAATGAATACTTAAAGATAAAATTAATAAAATATCACCCAAGTATTTTAAACACTTGAGTCATATTGTATACCTTTTCTAATAATAATTCAATATTTTGTATTGCTGTTAAAAATAAAAAGTGAATGAACTTATTTTTATAATAGGGAAATTATGAGAAAAATATTAAATCAATTCTGGATTGGTAGAAATATTATAAATTTAAAATTCACAAGACAAACATCCCTAAAACTATATTTCCTTTCACTCTGTGATTTAGATGAGATTTTTATCCTATTTTTAAAGCTAAAGATTTCTATTTTTGTCAAATTTTGAAAATTCAGTCTAAAAAAAGTGTATTAAATTTTTGAAGACTATAGATTCAAAATACAACATTTTTAACAACCTTGTGAATTATTATAGATTACTTCTGTCAATATTGCCAATCTTGTTACTTTTCAGTATTTTTATAAGATTTTTATCATTAAATACCAACTACTAGAGCAACATCAATATCAGAATATGATTATATTATAATATTATATCGGAATATTATTAATCCTTTCTGGACTAATAATATTATTGCAATAACAAAGATTTTTTTTCATTTGATAGCATTCTTTTCGTTTATAATCAGTCATCACTTGATTACACTAAATCAGACTTTATTATATGCAAGTTAATGTTTTCATAATAAAATTTGCATTAACAAATTGAAGTTGGTAAAATTTTCAGGTTTTACTTATGAGTATATCTTACTTATTATAAAAAGCAGATTGTGTGTGTGTCTGTAACGTTTATATATTGGATCGGATTTCCTACATTTTTCAGCAGATTTCAACAAAACTTCACAGGACTACGTAAAATTACCTTGTGGTTGTTCTAACAGCGCCAAAAATGGGAAAAATAATTGTTTTTAAACAAAATTAATTTGAAAACACGATTAAGAGACATCATGAAAATGGAACGGGGACAACTCACATCGGGTTGTTTGTGTGTGTGTGGGTTCCTTTAAATATGGGAGCGGATTTCCTATATTTTTCAGCCGATAAAACAAAACTTCACTTTTTTTTCTTTTTTTTGGCAGGTAGTGTTTCTTATTCTCTTGCACACTTTTTTCTTTATTTTTAACATTCAGAATGCTTTAAAAATTCCATTTACAAGACAATTATTTATAATAAAATTCAATTGGGAGACTCATAACGATTGAAAACAATGTTTTTTGTTTGAGTTTGGGTTTGACCAATTCATAAAAAAAACAAACTAATTAAGACATGCGTGTCCGTCAACCTTAAACAATAATCTTTGTCAATTTTATTTTTCAGTCTTTATGATGGTGGATACTTGATTCTTCTCTTACTGTTATATCCCCGGGCAACGCCGGGCTCTACTGCTAGTTATCAATAAATACTGCAAGTTTCAAATTATAATATCCATCCTTACTGATAATAATTGTTTGAGAGCTATCAATTATGCAAATGCAACCTAAATTTTTATTTATAAACGAACCCAAAATATATAGGCCAAAGAAACCTATATTTAATTATTTTATTTTACATGTTAATATGGGGATGTCTTTGACATTTTATAAACTTCATCCATTGATTTCATTAACTTTTCTTATTTTTTGATGTTTACATTACTTGTAGCAGTTTATATATTTTCTTTGCTTGAATATTGTTCTTCTTATATACATCTGTTCTAATGATGGATCACAGGTTTTCTATTGAATTCATATTTGGAGAGGCTTTGGATAATTTCATTATGGTGTTTTTTAAACTTCTTTTGTTAATGTAGGCAATAGTTAGATTTATAAAATTCAAAGGAGAATTTTCTTGCATGAATATATTCTTTAATGCTTCTTGTACTACTCAAAAATTGTCTTGTCAAAGATCATATAATAATTGTTTGTATTTATTTTGATACTATTGTTGCGGGTTGTAGCTGAGTGAAAATGTATCAGAAGGTAATTTATGTAAGACAAAGATTATGCGTGCTTATTATGCATTATCCCACAACACGTAGATCAAATAAAGAATATAAGAAAAATTTGCATTGCAAGAAATTACTAAAAACACAATGGTTAGAGATCCAACAATAAAGAGATTTTTATATATACAATAGATATACATGCAAGGATAACAGAATGTTTGTTGATTGTGGCAATTGAGACAAGTTTATGAAGAATGTTCATGCAGAAATTTGGTCAATAAAAGTTAATGGTTTTGATTTGTTAGTGAAATTAAAATAATTTGGTTTCTGCAAGAAAAAAATCTCAAATGTGTTCATTCAAATATCAGTGTGTATGCATGTGTTACTTGTTAGAATTTAAGTTGTGAAGAGTTGTTTGCCTTTAACTTTTTGGCTAAATTGATGAATTGTACAATTACTGTTTGTGTAGTGAAACGTTCATTTTTAAGTCAATTATAATTTGATTACCACGCGGACAATGGTTGATTAAGTGCTGTGTTTGTTGAGAATTTTGAAGTGATGTTGAGTCAGTGAATTGACACACGTGGAGTTTGGTAGCATCTCATGAAACTTGATGACTGACTGACTTGAATTGAGTCATGCGGCTGTTTATATAGACTTTGGTGTTTAAAAATCAGCTCCAGGGAGCTTCGGCGGGAAAAGGGATCTGTTTACAGTTTAGTGTTTCTTAACCAATAGAAGATTGAATTTACTGAAACAAAGTGGTGATTAGTTAAAGCTTTTTTTTTTAGAGAAGAATACATCTTTATGAAAGGGGTAGAAGGCTAATGTGGAAGATTCCACACTATCATCAACTATAATTTTACAGGCTATAATATGACACACACAGAGAACATTTTACCTCATCCCTGTTTATGTCATGTTAACTATTTTCATGAAAAACCCAACCTTGTACAGTCATCAGGTCCATCCAATTTAGCTTTACAATTATTAAAAGTTAGTTGAGAAATCAGTTTTCTCCTGATGTTTAAAAATGGTAGTTTGGATGCTGTCATATCTTTACTCAACACTCTTAATATTCTGCATTTTTTTCTTTTACATTTTCAACACTAGCTTCTTCAAATATTATTTTGCTCATTATCCTTTTAATTTCTCTTAAATCTTTCTTTTTTTTTTTATTCTAAAAGCTAATGTTTTAAAATTATTTGATTGTTCTTTCTGCAATTTCCAACATTGTGTTTTGATCACTCAGTAACTTTACAATATTGTTTCTATTTTCTTGTGGTAATTTTTATGTATTAAATATCAGTAACCGTTGTGTTCTTTATATTTATTTATTTATTTTTTTTTTTTTTTTTTGACAATATGATGAACAATACTTTATTTGCATAACACATTTTCACAATGGCAAATAAGTTATTGTAAATATTGCTA